TGGTGGTGCATGCCTGTAGTCCCAGCTACTCGGGAGGCTGAGGCAGAAGGATTGCTTGAGCCCAGGAGTTTGAGGTTGCTGTGAGCTAGGATGATGCCATGGCACTCTAGCCGGGGCAACACAGTGAGACTCTGTCTCAAAAAAAAAAAACAAAAAACAACAATCCTCTCTCCCTACCACCCATACCCCACCCACATCAAAAAGGCCTACCTTGCCAACATGAGGACAGCCATGTGAACCACGAACTGGAGGCAAATTATCTTCCGTAGCTGGAAATGTTTCAGTTTCATAAAAGTGCATTTTATTTTCTTCTTTTTTGATTTCTGATACCCAACTCTGAGAGGAATACAGAAAAAGAAAGTTAATATATAGTTTGAAATAATTAACTAGTCATAAGAAACAGTTGGCCCTTGAACAATACAAGTTTGAACTGCACAGATCCACTTATATGTGGATTTTTTTTAATACAAATACAGGAAAAAATTTTGGAGATTTGTGACAATTTGAAAAGACTCACAGAGGAACTAGAAATATCAAAAAAAATTTTGCAAAGTCAAGAATCTCACAAATGCATAAAATATATGTAGATAGTAGTCTATTTTATCATTGACTGCCATAAAATACACACAAATTATAAAAAGTTAAAATTTATAAAAACTTATGCACACACTTACAGACCTTACATGGCACCATTTGCAGTGGAGAGAAATGTAAACAAAGACACAGTATTAAATTATAACTGCAGAAAATTAACTGTAGCTCATACTGTACCACTGTAATAATTTCGTAGCCACCTCCTGTTGCTATTCTGGTGAGCTCATGTGTTGCCAGTATCTTCTTCAAATGCTGTGTGATGCTAATCACCTGCATGTGAGCAGTTCATCTTTCCAGTAAATTGTGCATTGCAGTACAAAGTGATCTCTCACAGATCTCCTGTCTTTTTCACTGTGTTTAGTGTAATACTGTAAACCTTGAATAACATCATGGGACCCATACAAAGTGCCACTAGTGATGCTGGAAGTGCTCCCAAGAAGCAGAGAATAGTCATGACATTACAAGAAGAAGTTGAATTGCTCACTATGTACCATAGATTGAGCTCTGTAGCTGCAGCTGCCCACCATTTCAAGATAAACAAAACCAGTGTAAGGACCCTTGTAAAAAAAGAAAAGGAAATTCAAGAAGCTGTCACTGCAGCTATGCCAGCAGCTGCTTGCACTTTTTGCAAAATACCTTTTTATCTCTCATATTGAAAATGTAGCTTTTATGTGGGTGCAGGATTGCTATAAGGAAGGCATTCCTAGATATAGACTCTAGTATGATACAAGAAAAAGCAAAGTTATTATATGACTACTTAAAGCAAAGGGAAGGTGAAGGACCTAAAGCTGGAGAATGTAATCCCAACAAAGGATGGTTTGATAATTTTAGGAAGAGGTTTGGTTTAAAAAACATCAAGAGAACAAGAGAAGCAGCTTCTGTCGACCAAGAGGTGGGAGACTTGTTCCCAGATGCCATTAAGAAAAATCGCTGAGGAGAAAGAATATCTGCCTGAACATGTTTTTAATTAAAACAAAAGTGCTCTATTCTAGGGAAAAAAATGCCACAAATAACATTTATTAGTAAGGAAGAGAAGCAAGCACCAGGATTTAAGGCAGGAAGGGATAGGCTAACTCTACTGTTTTCTGCAAATGCAGTCAGGTTTCTGATCAGGACTTCCCTTACCTATAAAGCTGCTAACCCTGGAGGCTTGGAGGGAAAGGATAAATGCCAGCTGCCAGTCTTCTGGTTGTACAAGGAGACCTGGACAAGAAGAATACTTTTTCTGGATTGGTTCCTCTGATGCTTTGTCCCTGAAGTCAGGAAGTACCTCGCTAGTAAAGGACAGCCTTTTAAAGTTCTTTTGAAATTGGACAATGCCCTTGACCACCCAGAACCCCACGAGTTCAACACCAAAAGCATCGAAGTGGTCTACTTGCCCCTAAACACAACATCTCTATTTCAGTCTCTAGATCAAGGGGTCATAAAGACCTTTAAGGTTCATTATACAGGGTACTCTATGGAAACGATTGTCAATGCTATGGAAGGTAACCCTGACAGAGAGATTATCATGAAAATCTGGAAAGGTTATACCATTGAAGATGCCATCATTGTTACAGAAAAGGCCAGTAGCCCCAGCTACTTGGGAGGCTGAGGTAGGAGGCTCGCTTGAACCCAGGAGTTAAGGCTGTAGTTCACTATGACCGCACCTGTGAATAGCCACTGCACTCGAGCCTGGCAATATAGTGAGATGCCATCTCTTTAAAAACAAAAAAAAATTTTTTTTAATTTCAGGAAAGAAAAAGCTGTGAAAGCCATCAAGCCCAAAACAATAAATTGCTGCTGGAGAAAACTGTGTCCAGATATTGTGCAGGACTTCACAGGATTTATAACCAAGGAAATCAAGGAAATCTCTTGATTGTGGATATGGCCAAAGAAAAGGTGTGTGTGGGAGGGTGAGGATTTCAAGATATGGATCTTGGAGAAATTCAAGAGCTAATAGACACCAACCAGAGGAATTAACAGATGACTTGATGGAGATGAGTGCTTCCAAACTAGTGCCAGATAATGGGGACAAAGACATAGAAGCAGTGCCAAAAAACAAATTGACACTAGACAATCTGGCAGACGGGTTCTGATTTTTCAAGACTGCTTTTGACTTCTTTTATGACATGGACTCTTCCATGATAAGAACACTAAAACTAAAGGAAATAGTGGAAGAAGGATTGGTACCACATAGAAACATTTCTAGGGAAAGGAAAAACAAAAAAGTTGGACAGAAATTACAATGTACCTCTGTAAAGTCACACCAAGTGTACCTGCCTCTGTTGCCTCTCCTTCCACCTCCTCCATCCCTGCCACTCCTGAGAAAGCAAGACTGACTCCTCCTCTTCTTCCTCCCCCTCAGACTACTCAATGTGAAGACAGTGAAGATGAAGGCCTTTAGGATGATCCACTTCTACTTGACGAATAGTAAATATATTTTCTTTTACTTAAGATTTTCTTAATAACATTTTCTTTTCTCTAGCTTACTTTATCTAAGAATACAGTATATGATACATCTAACATACAAATATGTGCTAATTGGTAAGGCTTCTGGTCAACAATAGGCTATTAGTAGTTAAGTTTTGGGGGAGTCAAAAGTTATATGTAAATTTTTGACTGCAGGAGATTCGCTACCCCTTACCCCTAACATTGTTCAAGGGTCAACTGTCTACATCATAGTTTCCTATGGGCCAATTTTTTAGGTGGCAATGTGATCATGCCATTCTATCTGGAATGCCCTTCCTGCTTTTTATTTTAAGTTGTGGTAAATACATATAAAATTTACCATCTTAACTATTTAGAAATTTAGAAATGGTTAAGGTGGTAAATTTTATGTTTTGTTTTGTTTTGTTTTGTTTTTGAGACAGAGTCTCACTCTGTTGCCCTGGCTCGAGTGAGTGCCGTGGTATCAGCCTAGCTCACAGCAACCTCACACTCCTGGGCTCAAGCGATCCTACTGCCTCAGCCTCCCGAGTAGCTGGGACTACAGACATGTGCCACCATGCCTGGCTAATTTTTTCTATACAGATTTTTAGTTGTCCAAATAATTTTTTTTTTTTCGGTAGAGATGGGGGTCTTGCTCTTGCTCAGGCTGGTCTCGAACTCCTGACCTTGAGGGATCTACCCGCCTCGGCCTCCCAGAGTGCTAGGATTACAGGCGTGAGCCACCGTGCCCGGCCTGGTAAATTTTATGTTACATGTAATTTACCACAGTGAAGAAACAATAAAATTTCATAACTGGAGTGACTTACAATAAGCAAAAATTGAAATAAAAAAATAAACATTTACAACAGCATAACATATGTGAAGTACTTAGGAATAAATATAACAAAAACATGCAAGAACTATACACTGAAAACTATCGGACATTGCTGTAAAAAATTAAAGAAGAGCTAAGTGAATAGAGAAACATACAATGTTCATGAATCAGAAGCCTCAATATTGTTAAGATGTCGGTTCTTCCAAAATTGATCCACAAATTCAACACAACCCCAACTCAAACACAGAAAGTTACTTTGTGGAAATGGATAAGCAAAGGACCTAGAATTGCCAAAACAACTTTGAAAAAGAAGGACAAAGCAGAAGGACTTGTACTACCTGATTTCAAGACTTAATATAAAACTATTGCAATCATGACAATGGGGTACTGAAGTAAAGATAGACACTTAGAATAATGAAACAGAATAGAGGAAGTCAGAAATAGACTCACACATACACGGTCAATTGATTTTTTAAAATTGTTTTTTAGAGATGGGGTCTCCCTACATTTTTCAGGCTAGAGTTAAGTGGCTATTCACAGGTGCAATAATAGTGCACTACAGCCTCAAACTCCTGGGCTCAAATGATCCTCTTGCCTCAGCCTCCCAAATAGCTGGGGACTATAAGCATATGCTACCATGCCCAATTTTGGTCAATTGATTTTTGACAGTGGTACCAAGAAGTTCAATGGGAAAAGGATAATCTCTCATTAAAGGGTGCTTGAATACTTAAAGATCATATATTAGAGACCTAAATATAAGAGTTAAAACTATAAACTTTCTAGAAGAAAACTTAGGGATACTGGATTAGACAAAGATTTCTTAAATAGAACACAAAAGCCCAAACAATAAAAGAAAAATTGATGTAATCTAAATTTAAAACTTTGCTCTTACTGTTAAAAAAATAAAAAGGCAAGCCATATTGTATCAGAAAATATTTGCAAAACATGTACTTAATAAAGAATCTGTATTTTACAATTCAATAAGAAGAACACAAACAATGTAATTTTTTTTAAACGGGCAAAGTATTTAAAGACACTTTACAAAAAAAGATAACATAGATGGCAAATAACCACATGAAAAGACACTCTATATCATTAGTCATTAGAGATATGAAAACTAAAACTCAATGACATACCACTAAATACCTGGTAGATGGCTAAAATTAACAAAACTGGCAATACTGTGTGTTGACCAGAATGTAGAGCAACTGGACATTGTATACATTGCTGGCAGGACTGCACAGTGGTACAGCCACGCCACTATGGAAAACATTTTGGCAGTTTGTTCAACTGGCAAATGGGTAAACAAACTGTGGGATATCCATACTCAGCATTTCAAAGAAATGAACTTGTTGCATGGATACATGCAACAACATAGATGAATCTCAAAAACTAAGCGAAAGGAGACAGACAGGAAAGACATCATATTGTATGATTACATTTATATGAAAGTCTAGAAAAGGCAAAACTATGGTGACAAACAGCAGTTCAGTGGTTGTCAGAGGCCAGGGTGTGGGGTCTGCACTGACTGAACAGGGGCAAAAGAAACCCTTTGGGGATGATGGAAATATTCTATATCATATACATTTGTCAAAACTCAGTGAAATGGATACTAGAAAGTTGGTACTTTTTACTGAATATAAATTATACCCCAATAAAGCTGATAAAAAGAAATTGGTAAAGATTTCTTAACAAAAGAAGAAATTCAAGTGACAGATAGATGAAAATTAATTCAACTTTACTAATAATCAAAAAATACACTACAGTATTCCCCCCTTATCCACAATTTTGATTTCTGAAGTTCCAGTTACCTGCAGTCAACTTTGGTCTGAAAATAGGTGAGTACAGTACAATAAGAAGTTTTGTGAGAGAGAGAGAGAGAGAGAGAGAAACACATTTATATAACTTTTGTAACAGTATATTGTTATAATTGTTCTAATTTATTTTTGTTATTAATCTCTTACTGTGCCTAATTTATAAATTAAACTTTATCATGTATGTATAGGAAAAAAAAAGTATACACAGAGTTTGGTACTGTCCACAGTTTGAGGTATCCACTGGGGGTCTTGGAACATATCTCCCAAGGATAAGAAGAGACTACTGTGCTATCATTTTTTTCCAACTATTTAATTGATTAAAAATGATTACAGTATCCACTGAAAACAGGCATTCTTATACACTGCTGGTGGGAGAGGATGAAGGCACAACTTTTCTGAGAACATAGAAATCTGATTCAAAAGCCTTAAAAATATTCAAATCCTTTGATCAAGCAATTTGAATTCTAATAATTTATCCTGAGGAAATAACCAGAGAGGTGTAAAAAAATTATGAATAAACCTGTTTTTCCTTTAGGGCTTTGCAGGGAAAAAAAAACATTTATATGGCACTATTTATTGAAGCTGATTAAATTACGATTCTTTTATAGGATAGGACATTATTTAGCCAGTTAAAATCCACACATGAATGTATGTGTGCACACACAAATTCACAATTTATACCAGAAGAACCTGGGTATAAGAAGCAACCAATACTACCTAAGTAAATACCACGAAAAGCCCTTTACCGACAAACAAGAAGCCTAGGATTTCAGGTAAGTGAGGCAGACATATACACAATATCACGACAGTATCTATCAAAAACTGGTGTTACTTTATACCTTTATATCACCATCAATTTTTTCCCATTCTTCTGCTGTAAAACTGGATGCTGTAGCTGCCGGTTTATCTTTCCTCAAAGCTCTACTTGCAGGAGCCAAGCCTTGAAGGCGCTTTTCACAAAACTCTGTAAGTTCTGGATAATATCCTTCCTCACCAGATCTTTAAAAAAAAAATCATAATTTTACAGTTAGCACATTATTTAGAGATCGTCTAGACTAGTGCGTTGCAAGCTTGATTCCAGAAAGCCCAGGGGTTCTGCAGAGATCTCATGGGCTGCACAAGGCTGAAGGCTGGGCTGCTGGCTTCCTACGCTTTTTCCTCAACCAGTATATCCTCCATGTTATCTGCTAAATCTACGGAGTGATGCAACAAAGAAAACAAGGAACCCCAAAGAAACCAATTTCCATCACATGCTTTAAAAGTGGAATAAATAACATTTTCTCTCCTCTTTAACATACATATGTTCATTTTGTACATGAGGCCATTTTAAACTTATAAATGCAAATTCAATATTAGAGACTGACAGAGAGAATTTGGACTTCCTTTTCAAAGAAGAGTTTCTGTTCACAGTTCAGTTTTGTTTTCTTTTTCCAAAAGGATAGGAAGAAAATGGCAGAGAAGCAGCTTAGACAAAACCCCTAAATTCAACCACTGAAGGAACAGAATTGCTTCCTTAGAGAGGTAAATGGAGTCATGTGTTCTTTTTTGTTTGTTTTTAAGGAAAATCAATCTTTTTCCATTCTCTTGTAAGTCTGTTCACTCTGAAATTTCTAGGAAAATGTAAATAAGTCCCATTTCCAAATTAAATTTTGAAAAACAATTCCAAGTCAATACAATTTAATTTAATTAGGCTATTGATAGAATTTCATGGAACCAACTCTTTCATCCCATAAACTTTACATTTTTTTAATCAGCCCTTGACCAAATATACATGACCAATATAGTCTGCTGAGACAAAGGGAAAACAGTGATAGGATTTTTCATCTTTCCATTTCAGAAATGATGGGGTTATTATATCAACTATGACTGGGGACAAGCAGGAAGGACAGGAGGCCAAAGCTGATGAAAAAGAAAAGGTAAAGAATACAGTGACAGGGAAGAAGTTCAGAGGAAAGAAAAGAGGTGTCACAGGTTGGTACGCCACAGGGCAGTGTTTATTGAAGTGGGCTCCTGTCAGCCTGCTTGTTAAAAACACATGTTCCAGGGCCCTACCCCAGATTTCCTGAAGCAGAGTCTCTGGGAATAGGGCCCTCAAATTTGCATCTTTAATAACTACATTTGATGCATAATAAACTTTGACAATCAACACCATGGGGTTCTCCCTTGAAAAAGCCCTCATCCCCTACCTTCTAATATTATATTCAGGCCTCTGCACCATCCTCCATGAGATCAGTTTGCATTGAGTCATCCTCCTTTGTTGTCAGGTAGGAAAGTGCCAAAGAACTTTATCAGCACAGTCTGGTGAGGTAACCTTACCTACCAATGGCTACTCTCACAGCTACTTTACCTTTTCCTAGGAAACGTGGAAGCAGCAAGAAAAATGCACTCTTGGATGCTAATTAGCCTAAGTCTCCTGCTGAAAGTAGACCTAGATGGAATTCTCCAAACTATTTAATAACCAGAGGATCAAACCCACTACTTTGGAAATCTACCATACATGGGCAAAAACAACAATCTTAATATTTGAAAATTTTCTCCACTATTTCTTTTTTTTTTTCCCTTGGCTTAAACAATAGAAATTTATTTTCTCACAATTCTGGAGGATGGAGGTCCATGATCAGGTGTAGAAGGGCTGGTTTCTCCTGAGGTCTTTCCTCCTGGCTTGCAGATACCAGCGCTTCTTGCTGTGTCCTCACGTGGTCTTTTCTCTGTGTACCCCTTCTCCAATGTTTCTAATGTAGCTTCCACTTTCAGAAGGCAAGATAATTAAACTGGCACACTGAAACACGAAATGGTTTTGAAATGCTTACCTGAGCACACAGAGAATTTTTTCCAGGTGTTTAACGTCTGAACATTTTTTAATATACTTGAAATCCAAATGTTCAATGGGAATTTTAAATGTTTTTGTTGTTCCAAAGCCCCACAATGATGGACCTTCTTTGGCAGTCATGGCTGAAACACAGTATAGAAAAGAATCACAAACCTAATATATATAATAATACCCAATTTGGATAGTAATAACCACCTAGATACTTCTGTAGAAAAGGAGGTGAAGTGTTTTTTCCAAGGAGGAAGACTACGGTATTCTCTATCCCTGCTAACAATAGTTAATGTTTATGAAGTTAAATTACTGTGTGCCATGTATGAATTATCTCAATTAATCTTCACTTAAGCAAAGCTGGAATACAATGACAAAGCAGGTTTTGATGCTATAACTGCTTTTTAAGATATCTTTTAATATTGATTTTGAACAACCTGCTTCTACTTTAGCTGTCTGTTAACATCCCAGTCGTCCTTTGTGATTGAGAACAAACATAAATAACACTGCTTTTTTCTTTCTGGGTTTGGTTTTTTTTTTTTTCGGATGAGGTCTAGTTGTACTGCCTAGGCTGGTCTTACACTCCTGGGCTCAAGTGATCCTCCTGCCTCAGCCTCCCAAGTAGCTGGGACTACCTACAGGCATGAGCCACAGTGCCCAGCCCTTTCTATAACTTTCCTTCACATTGCCCTCTTTCCCACTTCCTGCCTCCTTACATTCCCTCCCACTCACTGTCATCAACGAACAGCTCCCAGAACTGTGTTCTAACAGCACTCTATACAGACCTCCCTCATAGCATGTAACACGTATTTTAATTATGTTTCTTTGTGTTCCCTTCTAGACTGTGCGAGATCTTACTTTATTCATCCTCATAGCTCCAGGACTAACATAATAAATAGTGCCTTATATCCCTTAAGAAGCACTTGCTGAATTGAATTAAATTGGAAATAAGGAGACCTTGGAGAGTTTTACTCTAATGATACTGCTGCTAATGATGATGATAATAATAACAGCAACAAATACTTAAGTAGTGCTTAATGCATGCTGGGCACCATTCTAAGTGCTTTACATAGATTACTTTCTTTAATCCTTCAACTACTGTATCAGGTAGGTTTTATTTTAAGGAGAGAGTAGTGATAACAGTCAATATTTATGGGGTTAAATTACCATGTGCCATAGATGGCACACTTAATTTTCAGAACCACTCTCATAAAAGATATTAATAATTACTCCCATTTTACAGATGAGAAAGTTGACAAGTGAACTGAAGATATGAATCTCAGGAGGCTAACTACTGAGCCTATGTAGTTAATCACTGTAATAATACCAGTGCTTTTCAAACTGCAGGTAGCAACCCATGAAATCAAGTTAGCGAGTTGCAATCAGCATTATTTTATGAGATAGAGTAGAATAAAAAAATAGATTACCTAGCATATAACATTAAAGTAAATACTGTTTTATAAAAACTTTTATTTCATGTCTATATAAATGGAAATTACGTGTGTATGTAAATGCACAAGGTTGCAAAATAAACTATATTTCTTAGTGTGGGTCACTGCCAAGTTTAAAAAAAAAAACAAAAACACTGCACTAGAATCTATTGGGTGATAATTTTAAAAACAAGAAGGAGCAATGGGTCTAATTCATGTAAGTGTATTCCTTTCAGCATGACTGCCCTCTGGGAAACTGATCATATATCAGACCTCTGCAGAAAATGAGGACACTCTGTCAGCTTCTTCTCCATATTCCTGCTGGCTTTGATTTGGGTCTAGAATATATTATAGATGACAATTCTTCAGCTTTCTGATGAGATCCAGCTGAGAAATTAGATGTGTCTTTCACACCATACCTGCAGGGCCCATTGATGAATGGCTCCCATCACAAGAATAACCTTAAGGGTGGAAGTTACAGGAAGGCAAGATGAAAAACTTTTAAATTATTGATGCTGCCCTGAATAGAATGGGTTGCCTTAGGAGAATTTTTTCTCCAACAAGCTGGAGAATCTTTGGTTGGAGAGATTTTTCATGTAATGGGATTAAAATAGATTACCTGGAATTGAAGGTATCTTGCAACCACTGAGATTTTATGATTTGAATAAAATATAAAAAGCATATGAAAGAGCCATCTATCATCTAATCAAATGAATTTCATTCTGAATACTATTTTAACATTTCTGAGAATCCTTTCTGAAAGCTATTATGCTTTTATTTTTTTCTGTAGGATACACATCCTCAAGATCACTAAATGTTAATTCTCAAGTTTCGAAAAACAAGTTATATAATACTTTATTTGCTCTGTTTAGAACTTTTTCACCTCTGTTTGCAAAGTCTTGGTCTCTAATTGGGAAAAACTTTGGTACTAGGGGGATTTAATTTCTTCTCCATCATCCTGATCCACATCCACTGCGCATATTTTGTAGTCAGTTTATCAGCATTACCTCCAGTGCACACGGCTAGGGACTAGTAACGCAAAAACCTGGGTCTCTCCCTCCGAGGCACCTTCCTTCCAGCGTGGACGGGCCGAGCGCCCCCTGCGGCCAGAGAGCGAAAGGAAATGGCATCCTCCCGCCGTAGCAACGGTTTCTATGTACAGAGCGGCCCCCGGGCTCAGGGGCTGGCCGGGAGCCGGAAGCTCTATCAACAGCCGCAACCGTCTGAAATCGCTCCCACACCCCGGCCTTGGTCACTAGGGCTCACTGCAGCCGGCGGACCCCGCGGACTCCACCATTGCGACCGCGCCCCACCATCCGCCCCCGCCCGCCGCGGCCTAGAAAGCCCCCAGTTAGTTTCCCCCGCCCAGGAAGGTCGTTCATCCTGCAGCACGCTCCCTGTCACCTGAGTCCGTCGGTGCCTTTGCTCCTCCGCCTCCGCCTTTCACCCCCGCTCCCGCAGGGCGGGACTGCGACCCGAGACGTGTTTTCTTCCTGGGCGGCAGGCACACGCAAGCACTCACCTGTTCTCAGCCCCGCGCCCAGCGGAGAACCGGCCGCCGCACCGTGGCCTGCGGCGCTGCAGGTGCTGGGGACGGGGCGGGACTGCCGCCTAGGCCCGGAGCCGAGCGCCAGGCTGACCGCCGGGGGCGTAGACTAGGCCATCCGCGGGATGACTGGCCCCTCCCCGACCTGCCATCCCGCTGATTGGCCTCCCGGTCCTCAGCTTCACCTTCCCCATCTTCGCCCTACTATTTGGGCAGAATCCTTGAAGTGTCCTCTCCTTTGAGTTTCAATTTGCTATAGAATGAGTTAAGACGCTGTCCCTATTGTGATATCCTGGAGTTCTGTACTCCCTGCTAGGTAAATTGATTACCTACTCCTACTTGACTATAAAAACGTAATTAAAATTTCAGAGTGCATTGCAACTTAGATTTACTAACCTCTTCCATTTTAAACGAAAGAGTAAATGAAAGCCAAGATTCCCTCTTCCTTTTCATGCCTTCCACATTTTCTGAGTGGTGGTTATGAGTTAGGCACCATAGTAGGCGCAGGGATACAAAGGTGAGTAAGACAATACAATTCGGATAATTAAAACAATAGCGATCATTTGTCAGGAACTTTACTTTCAGTTTTCTAAGTTCAGACTAGTTAAAATACATGATGAACACAAAGCACCTAGTACAGTGCCTAGCACTTAACAGTTCAATAAATGTTATTTCTCTTCCCCTTTTGCATTTAAATTACACACTTACAGTTTGTGAACAAGCACTTAGTGGTAAAAATTCTAATGCTCAAGCTATGATTAATTATATTATTATTTCCATTGCCTGTGCTGGAGAATGTTAAATTTGCATGCTTTAGACACAAATTCAAACTTTAGAATGTAAAGTCATTTTACACCTCATTCTAGCAAGCAAACTTCCTCCATAATTATGCTCTAAATACAAAACACTCAGCCTACCGTAATTTCACATCACTTTATTTCCAGCATAAGAAGAAATCCTTTAGGTATTTGGGGAATGGTGGTAATTCCACATGCTCTGTCATTTTCTTTTCACTCACACTTAATGATTTCTTCTGGCTATAATTATGTATACATTTATGCTGAATAAACAAGGATAAAAAGCAATTTGAAAGAAATAGACTATGTAGGCAAATGAAAAGTATCACTGTAGTCTTCACAGAGATAAAAGAAGATATTATATCCAAGAAACAAGGAAATATATATAAAGTGAGGTCTCGTAAGGTCTTACAGCCAGCTAACAAGTGGCAGTGTGGGTATATGAATCCAATTATACCAAAACCCATACTGTTTACTGAGCTCTTAATTATTAGCCAATTCATCAATAAGTCCTATTGGCTCAACTTCAAAACATATCTCACAACCAGCTACTTCTTACCTGCAACTGCCCTGGCCCAGCCATCATTATCATTGGCCTTAACTGGTTTCCCTGATGCCACCTGTCCCTATACAGTCTATTCCACACAACAGCCTAATTTTTTGTCTTAAATCAGGTCACTCTCCTGCTTGCTGTCCCAATGTATTCCCATCACAAGACCCTGAGAGTGCTGACCTCTGCCCACCTTTCCAAGCTCATCTCCTCTTACAGTCCCCTAGTTCATGAAGTTCTCTAAGTCACGTGGGCTTCATTCTGAAGTGGGAACAATACAAGCTCACTTTCCATCCCAAAGTTTTTACACAAGCTTTTCCCTCTATTTCAGTAACGTTTTCATTCGTCAGTCATTTGTTATAATAACGACTCCACCATGGCTAATTTTCTACATAGAAATTATTCTAGGAGGGGTGGGCACATATGTGTAGGTATGAGGAAGCAACTTGTTTTTATACCTTTTCAGCTACCCCTACACACCACTTATTTCTGATTTCATCCATCTTTGAATTTTTCATAACTCCAATCTCTCAGAGTCTTAAAGTATTGTTATCTCCATGTACTGACAATCAATTCCTTCACTTTGATAATGAAGCTGAAGTTACAAGAAATGAAGTAAATTGGCTAGTCATTGAATAGCAGGGCAGGATTCGAACAAATCTCCATTCAGTGCTTTTCCCATGAACACGGGCATGGTTTTCAGTATGTCCATAGTCAGTTATTAAGGGAAAAGTTATGTGCTAACTTTAAGCTCAAGTTTACAAATTTTCATATTGATAAAGCACTATTCAAAATAATATTTTAAAAGCAATTTTATAGCAATTTTTTCCTTAAAACTGTCCAGGTACACAAGAGGTAAAATTACATCCAGTTTATAAATGAAAGGGGCGCAAAGAGGAAAAAGGCTGACTGAAAGCAGTGAGTTCCAGTAACACTTTTTCTGTTAAGTTGCTCTGCCCAGTTAACCAAACAGTATTCATTTAAACTACTGATATGCAAAGGACCTATGCTGAAATTAGAGCAGTTAAGAGAACTACATTATCCAACGAGCTGGGGTTTATCTGTTTAGGGGACTGTCATAAAGAGATATCATATATTGGTACTCCCACATCTAAAAAGGTCAAGTTCAAAAGCAAAATTATAAAATTATGAAAGCCATGGAAAGGAAAACCTGGACCAAGGAAGCACTCTTTAAAAATCTGTGTGGCAGCACTTCATATAGCATGTAATAAATTTATAGAAATTAGTATATGAAGATGGTAGTAGAAACACAGGTATTTTTTTTAAAAAATGTCAAGGATAATTTTTTGAATATTGCAGACACAGCTAATAAAACTGGAATATATCTAATTTTTAAAATGAATGTTAGGGTGGCCAACATAACCTTTAACTGTGGAATCTTAGAACAGAAAGAATGTTAAGTGTGACCATCAATTCCCATCCCTAAGATCAAGGCAAAAGATTTAAACATTTATCCAATAATTCAGTGTAAATCAATCCCTATTCTTTTTATATCCTAAAAGCAGAATTGTTGACCTTAATGATTACACCTGGGGAAAACTGTACCTGAATAGCCTGCTTCATCCACTTTTGCTTGGGGTTGATTTTGCCTTACAGAAAGCAACCATTAAAATTTCCCTTCCCTCTTCCAAGATTTAAAAAATAGTCAAGCATTATATAGAAAATACAGGAAGGACTATACCAAATAATAAATTAAAAACTGAACTCAAATGATGTATGCAGATTTAAAGCAAGTGCACTGGTATACTCTGTACAAAATGACACTAGAGTTTATAAACAGTTGGTGACAAAGAACAGTGGTTTCCAAGGAACTTACATAATTAGACCTTCAGAGGGCTCTAGAAATCTGCACTTTTAACAAGGACAGCAGATGACTTAGGTTTTGATTAAAAGTGTGGTTTGGGGAAGCACTTTTAACCTTTATTGTGTGTCATATTACATATACAATAAAATTAAAAATCATGTAATTGAACAAAAACTTTACACAAAATATTCATACCTAAATACAATACGGTTTTAAAAACAAAATATGTATATAGTTGTATTCATAAGTATAGTAGTCCCCCCTTATCCAGTTTCATTTTCTGTGGTTTCAGTTACTCATGGTCAATCACAGTCCCCAAATAGGTGGGTACAGTACAATATCACATTTTGAGAGAGAGAGACCAGTTACGTTCACATAACTTTTATTACAGTATATTGTTATAATTGTTCTATTTTATTAGTTATTGTTGTTAATCTCTTACTGTGTCTAATTTATAAGTTAAATTTTATCATAGCTATGTACATATAGGAAAAACATAGCATATGTAGGGTTTGGTACTATCTGAGGTTTCAGGCATCCACTGCAGGTCTTGGAACATATCCCCTGAGCATAAGTGGGGAGTATTACTGCATGTTAAACCAAAAGCTATGCAACACTGAGAAACATTAATGGGACAAATCCAAGTATAAATGACAATCCTCTGAATTCACAGGTTTCATCTGGCATCAAAAACCACCACTGTATTAAACTGAGTTAAGGACAACAAAAGTACTTAAAAATTATATATAAGATTTAAGACTTCCAAATCACCCTTTCTTTGCAATAAGCTAGCTTGTTATTTAGTTTAAAATGCACAAAAGAATGGGATTTACTATTTACTATGACAATTATAGATGAACTAAAAAAACTATTTCAATTTTTATGACCTTTTGCATGATACAAAAGACCAATGCATCAAAAAACACTGAAGCAATGTTAAAGGCAGTAATTTGTTGATCTTTAAAACTGTTAGCACATAACAATTTACTCTCAGTATTTAGGCTAATTTGTGACCCCACTTTTTCTGTTAGGTAGTATACACAATATTTTTATTTCCCCTCATATAATTTAGTTTGGCCATAAACTCAAGCTCAAGAATATACTTACATAAATAGTTACACACTACATTAGGACATTTTGGCCAAGAACAGACTGCACATACACATACAACAGTGGTCCCCATAAGATTACATTGCATTTTTGCTGTATCTTTTCTATGTTTAGATATACAAATACTTAGCATTATGTTAAAATTGCCTACAGTATTCAGTACAATAACACGCCATGCAGGTTTGTAGCCTAGAAGCAATAGGCTATACCACATAGCAAAGGTATGCAGTAGGCTATACCATGTAGGTTTGTGTAAGAACGATGAAATCACCTAAGGCTGCATTTCTCAGAATGCATCCCTGTCTTAAGCATGACTGTACAGAATCCCTAAAAATAAACTTGTGAGAACCAAAATCAACTAGTATTTAGATTATTTAGAACCTATACATTGATCCATGAAAATGCTAAATCATGTTTGTTTTTAAAATAAGTACTGTAATCCATTTTTACCAGAAATTTGTATTTATCAACCCTAGCATCATCCTTCATTTCCTCCTACCTCATAATTTGAAAGCATAGTTAAAAGGATACATCTTTTAGTCCTTTTCTTGTACATTATTCTGTATCCACACTCTCTGCATCTGATCGGATCCCTGGATTTTATTTCATTTTCTGTGTGACATTCTAGAAAAGAAAACACATTTACTCAATGCCTAAAAGGAAAACATTGCAGACAAGCAAATTATCTTAACTGTATTTTTCACCCAAAGCAACCCAAAGGACTAAAATACACTCAATCTCAAGGGTGTGCTGCTATTACTAAATATATCTGGTAGGAATGAAAATAGTTGTACGCAATGCTCTTTTTTCCAGGAGAGAAAATGATATCTTAACAAAAAGCTTTTAAAAAAATGGTTGCTAAAATGTTCTACTTTATAACTTGGAACATCAATTAACTAATTTAAACAAAGGATAAATGTAATAATTTCAAAAAAACTTAAGTAAAATACTCTTACTTTATGTAAATGCTATTCATACCTCCACAGATATATATCATTGGCTGCTGCTTTGGTGGTTGAACGTCCTTCTGGGTGTCCATTGTTAGTCTCTAAAATCACAAATTCAAATATTGAATATCTCAGAGGGGCTTCTCACAAATCCAACCAAGCTCCATTTTTCTCAGGAAAAGCTAAAAAGGTCCCAATTCCTAATCTGTACTTTTCTCTAAACTCTATGGAGTAGGTCTAAAGGATGAAACACATCCAAACTAGACACAATAATAAATACTTTATACATGTTATTTCACTATAATCCCCACAACAATCCTAGGAAATATCATTCTTATATCACAGATGAAGAAACCGAGGCTTAGAGAAGTTAATTTATGCAGGATTACTCAGTTTAAGAGGCAAAGGGATTCAGATATAACCACAGGGCTCGCATTCTCATTTAAGAAGTTCTGTTTTTCCAAACTGTAGCCGGAGATAGCAAAAAAAAAAAAAAAAAAAAATTCTCTCTCTCAACAGAACAGGCTAACCGAAGGGGAAAAATATGAAATAATTCCTAGCGGCTAAACAAAATAAGGGAAGGCTGACAGCATGGTCGCTATCTCCAGCGCCTCCCAACTCTAACCCCATACTCGACCTTTTTAACCCCAAGTGTCTTTCCAGTTTTGGCCCAAATACCCACGCACGAATCCCAAGCCACCAATCCCTACCTACGCAGCACAAAGAAACTTCTCACTCCGTGATTCCAAACAAAACTCAGCGTGAAGCTGTGTCGCTGCCAACTTCCGGCACTGACATATGACGCACAGTAGAGTCTCCGCCCCTTCCGCCCTGGGAGTAGGGGGAGCTTGGATTGCGCAAAGGCGAGCGAGCGGGTCCTTTTGTATGTTCGACTCTGTGGTCATAAGTGGTGTTTCGTCCTCAGCTAACGAAGTTGGTTGAAAGTAATACTTTTCCGGAAGGGCAGAGGTTAGAAGAGAAACCGAGATGACAAGTGCCGGTGGAATCCTAGGCTAGCGACGAACATGGAAGAGTCGATTCCACCAATGATTTCCACGTAGAAAAACACTTTCCAAATTGCGTTTTTCAAATTGTTTGGTGGTAACTGTGCTGGGTCAGTGGGGCAGCTGCTTCCTATCCTTTCCGTGATTTCGTTTTTGCTTTCTGGCCGTTTCTCTTCTAGGCTCCTGTCATCCCTATCTCCCACTCCTTTTACTCGTTTTAAAGCAAAGGTTAGCGTGAGGGTAGCTACATCAACTCCCACTTAAAGCTAAGGGATTTTGGTAGCTTTAGGCTGTCTACTAACCCTCCTTCTGTCTCATGTATTCCTCCATAGAAAAAACAAAACGTTCTGCTCAGTGGAGGTGCGTTCTTTCAAAGATCAAAATTTCAGTGAGATAAATCAGTTCGGTTCAGAACGTTTATCCTTGTTTACTTTTCTCACAGCAGGCATTTTACTTATATTAAAAGTAGGTGAAGAAGATAAAATCATTGAATTTTCAAAAATAACTTAGTTGTTAATAACTATTATAAAGTTATTCGGAGAAGCAGGCTTGCATTCTCCCAACATGCACTATGTCTTTGGTATCTTGTAAAGCAGGCTACATTCCTATCTGATCCTCCACCTGGCAACTTGAGGACTTTGAGCTTCACCATTCACTTCCAGGAGTTCAAACTGTGGTTGCATCTCCACAGACCAGCTTGAGGGACTTGATCTTTCCAGTCTTCCTATATGCCAATTCAGAAATTTCCAGGGAAACAGCAGTTCCCAGTTTCTTCCTCCACAGACATACAGAACATAGATATTTTGCCATTAGCCCTGTTAAAAAGTACCTGTCCTTTCAACCAAAGAGGTAATGCAATACAGGAGTCAAAATAGGCTTCCCTACAAGAAGTATTAGATACAATCATTGTTGTCATAAGAGAAAGATAATGGAATGATCCCAAAAGTGCATCTTTCATATTTGCACACTGTCTTGGATTTTAACTCTCTGGTTGAAATACCGAGATGATTCTGGCACAGAACAATCTACAGAGATCAGAATGGATCAACATATGTAGAATACAAACAGATCCTAGGACCCTACGGAAGGGCAGGGTAATGACAAGTCATAGCAAGGAAATCCAGAATTTCAACAAGAGTTCACACTGCTGCTAGTTCCCAATCTAACACTCTCTTTGCTATCAGCAGAAACCTGTAGTTTTAGGATCCCTATAGAGCATGCTCAGTGTAAGCAACCCTATTAATTAATGATAACATTAACTAACATTTCTTGAGCACTTACTAGACACTAGAAATCATTGCATTGCTCTCTTCAAATGGGGGTAGTTGTTTTGACATCCTGGACAGTAGCACTTTTAACTCCTGATAATATGGTTATGGAGATGTAAGTTGCTACTTTTTCCCTGAATCTCTTTCCTTTTTCCTTAATCATATTCACTTAAGTATATCTGCATAGCTTGAATGTTATGGTAATTGGGAAACTCTTCCATCATGTTTTATTGGGTGGTCCTACCAAGAAGCATTAGATCTTGTGGAAAGCAGATGGGTTTTAGAATTCCGAAGTCAATGATGATATGACACCCAATCCAAGAAAGGAAATAAAAAAGGCAAAAGACTGTGGTGGGTAAAGAATATGAAAATATATCTCAGTGGTTTAAATCTGGAGTATATAAATAAAGCCCAGGGCAAGCTATATATAACCAGGTACCTTTTTTCCCTTTTGGGGGCAGGGAGGAGTGAAAGGAGTTATGATATACTCTTTTACTCTTCCATTGTAATAAAATAACTCAAGAAAAATAAATAAACTGGAGAAAAAAAGAAAAGGACAATGTTTAAATGGTGCTTTGGAATTATGTGGATTTTATTTAACAATAGGCAAAACTCCCTGTCCTGTTAACGTTGAGATAGGGATGGGGAGCAGACATTAAATAAGTAGATAAGATGGGATTTTAGAAGTTAATAAATTACGCAGAGAAAATTCAGCAGAATTCAGCAGGATTGCAAATGCTGGGCAGGGAAGGGCAAAATGGCTGTAACAGAGATTTGTTTGACGAGCTGGAGAGGGTACTACTCACTCTTCCTGGGAGGGTGTGGTAGGCTTCAGAGAGGTGCTGTCTTGAAGAATGTGTAATTAATGAATTCCTTACCTAAATGCTACAGGTACGTTAGACTTAACAATCTCCCACTAAATTCATCTTGTTTTCTCTCAAGCCTGTACTCTTTGCTCCTTGCCCCATGCAGTTGATTCTGCCAACTGAATATGTCCAGTTCAGGTTCTTCTCCACCCCCACTATCTACTGGGGAGATATGGTAGCTTCCTACTTGTCTCCCTGCAGCCACCCTCACCTCTCTTCCTTCTCTTCTCCATTATACCACCAGAGTGTCCTTTCTAAAATGCTCTGCATTACCTAGAGGATAAACTTCAGACTCTTAACTTGTATCCAGAACTCTCCAAGACTTGGTTTCTTCATTTCTCAAGAATTTCCTCATGCCCTTTCTCCCAACAAGTCTTAGTTTCCAGCTATAACAAATTATTTGCAGTTTCTCTAATGTGCCCAACTGCTCTTGCACAATTTGTTTTGAGTCTGGAATTTTCCTGCTCTTCTACATTTTGTTTTAGGTTTGGAATTCTCTGTTATCTGCCTTTTAAATTGCCACTTTTCCATCTAAATCTACCTCATGTCATGGTCTTTATGAAGTTGGCACTGCACCCTCTTCTCTAGTAGGCTTAGCAGGTCCCTCTTTCCTTTGAGCTACTACTGTTCCTCTGTTTTAGCATTTGCACTGTACCAGTGAGCCCCTTAATGAGAGTAACTGTGCCTTCCTCAGCATTATATATCCAGTACCTAGCCCAATAATTGGCATATAGTTGGAACTTAATAATTGTTAATGAGTTCGATTTTAGATGACCAAGGGACTTCCAGATAGAGAAGTGTCCAGTCACAGGAGAGTGGTGGTGGCACCTGTTACTGGTTTAAAAGTTATGGCTGGGCCGGGCACAGTGGCTCACGCCTGTAATCCTAGCACTCTGGGAGGCCGAGGCGGGAGGATCATTTGAGCTCAGGAGTTCGAGACCAGACTGAGCAAGAGCAAGGCCTCGTCTCTACTAAAAATAGACGGACAACTAAAAACATGTAGAAAAAATTAGCCGGGCATGGTGGTGCATGCCTGTAGTCCCAGCTACTCGGGAGGCTGAAGCAGGAGGATCGCCTGAGCCCAGGAGTTTGAGGTTGCTGTGAGCTAGGCTGATGCCACGGCACTGTAGCTCAGCCAACAGAGTGAGACTCTGTCTCAAAAAAAAAAAAAAAAGTTATGGCTGAAGATCTGAATGAGAATTATATAAGCAAGGGATGATAAACTAAGAAAAATGCTGACATGAGACATCTCATTTAGGGATTAGGCCGAGGAAAAGAAGCCAGTAAAAGGATACTAGGGAAGATGTCAAGAGCATAAGACTGTGCCTGGCATCTATAGCTCAGTAAATATTGGATGAAAATTAGGATTTAAAAATGTATCTGGCATTGAAGGTACTTGGGTGTTTGTGATGCCACAAAGGGGATATTTGTAAACAATGAACACATTTCAGTCTGTTTTTTATTAATAGCCTTTTTCTTTTTTATGTATATACACAAAATTCATATATATTCATTGTAGAAACATGAGAAGAAAATACAGATAAAAAGACAACTGGAAAACAAACATAATCCTGTCCAAAGATAGTGTAACCAAGTTATTCATACCTTTCAGACCTGATCCTGTGTACATCTACACTTTTCATCTAAAAGGAGCCATTCAATTTGTAACCTGCTTTTTACACTCGGTAGGTTGCAGAAACATTTTCAAGTGAATATTCTCCTACATTATTCCTAATGGCATGCCGCTGTGGGACACATTAGCCTTTCTAAATACAATAATGCTTCCCAAAGTGAGGAAGGGGAGAGGAAGAGCCTTTCAAACTAGGAAGTCCTTGAGGGCTTGGGCCGGGTGGAAGAGTGAGAGCTAGAGGCAGAGCGAGGCCAGGGCCTGCGGGCGGCCGGGGCGGGGCGCGGCGGAGCAGGGGGAAGGGGCGGCGCGGGGCGGGGCGTAGCGGTTACTCGGGGCGGGCAGTTCAAACCGAAGGAGGGAAACGCGGCGGCCGGCGCGGAGCTGGCGTGGGGGTTGCCATAGCCGGGCATCCCTAGGGGCGAGGCCGAGGCTCCTCCCCGGCGCACCCAGGAGCGGCTGCCTGGCTCCGGGCCCTAGACGCTCCCCGCCCGGCCCGCAACCCGGCCTCCAGGTGGGCGGGAGGGGAGACACAGCTCTGAGCCCGGTAGCGGGCCTCTGGGCGTCCAGGTCCCCGAGCCCGAGCCCCACTGTTTTCCAGGTGCTGGGACTTGGGAGGCGCACGGCAGCCCTTTGCTTCCCCGCTCCCTGCGCTCCAGGTGACTCCCACTGTCCTCGGCCGCCCCCAGCAGTCTGCGCCGGCCCGGCAGGGGGAAGGTCGCCGGAGGCCGAGCGGATCTCCGACGCCGGTGAGGCCGTTACCCACCTACCCGCTGATAGCACCTCGCCCCGTAAATGACAACGCTGCAGTTCACACTGCCTTTTCAGGAACCCGAATTTGGGAAATTTACTCATTTCTGAGACTAGTTGGAGAAAACAAGGATATTAAGATTACTGTTGTCTGGAGGGCTGAGGAAATTCAAAATGATTTAGGCCTTTTCAAGTGTTAAAAATAATCCCTGCAGCATGTACTCTATGTCCCCTTCAACTTTTAGCTTTCACCAAGC